TGAAAATAGACCTGGAGCTTGGGGTTTAGGTGCAGTCAATGACAGCAGCATGACTGTAATTGAATGTGTGTAAGTGGGGGTCTGTGACAGAGTGTAAAGTATTTTAAATTGCTGTCTAAGCATATAGCTATAAAGAAAAAAAAAAGAAGTTCAAGAAGAAAGAAAATCCTTGTGGCCCCCAAAGGGCAGATTTGGGGGTTTCTAGGTTGTTGATGAGCTTTTCAATTTTCTTCAATCCCCTCGTCCCCACTCCATGAGAAAGAAAAAAAAAAAGAACAAACCCTGTAACAAATGTGCAGTTAACCAAAATAAATTCTCACATTGGCCATGTTAAAAAGAAAGTCTCAATCTGCACTCTGAGTCCATCATTTCTCTGTAAGGAGGTGAGTAGCATGTTTCCTCATGAGTACCCTGGAATTGTGTTTGGTCATTGCACTGATCAGAGTTCTTAAACCATTCAAAGTTGTTTGTCTTTATAATACTGTTGTTACTGTAGGAATTATTCTCCTGCTTTATTCTGTATGAGTTCATACAAATCTTCCCATGTTTCTCTGAGACTTATCTCTTTCATTATTTCTTACAGCACATCACATTTGGTTTATCATAACTTGTTCGGCCATTCCCCAATCAATGGGCACCCCCAATCCTTTTTCTAATAAGAAGCACTTTATCCTTTTTATTTCATCAGCCTTTTTTCACCAACTAGAAGATAGCTGGCGTGCTGAAACTGTTAGTAGAGGTTTTTAGGATAGTGGCCTCCAGTGGCCAAAACAACCCAAATCTCTCAGCTTGGCTGCAGTCTCCTTGAATATTAGGGCATCCTGACAACAGAATCATCCAGGCTTAGGGAAAAAGTAATATATTCCTTAACTTCTTTATGGAGTGGGACTATCATGCCTTCTTTTACTCCTGGCCTTGAGTCTTTGGCATTTGAAGGTTGTAGAAAAAAGACTAAGGAAATCCCTAGGGCCCTGAGCTGATGGCCATTATGCCACAGTGACCATTAAAACTGCTGAAACTGGACTGGACTGAAACCTCAACTTGGCAGGGCCTGGGTTGTTGTATCACAAAGAATAATTTGATAGACAGTTATATTGTTGAATTTGCTTAAGGGGAAAGTAACCACAACTTCCTACTTTTCACCAAGAACATGCATCTAATTTACACACCTATCCAACAAGACTGACCAACCCACCATTTGAAAAATTGAGCCTTCCTCTCATAAAGCACACAGAAAAACATTCTTTTGAATACAATTCAACAGCCAATTGTGACTTTCTATGAACAAACTGGTAAGGGGTTGCTTACAAAGCTAGTTTGATTGCTTTGTTTCTTTGGGTTTGCAATTTCTTCAGCGAGTTCACTGGTGAAGGGTGTTACTCAGATCATTGGATGCGGATAAATTTGTGCTTAGTCATTATCTTATAGTTGCTTAATGGAATACCTGGAGGGAGAGAGGGGCAGGGCATTGACGGCTCTAGCATTAGCTGCAATGGTCCCAGAGCAGGTGCAGGAACTGTGAAGCCACATTTTTAGCTTTTGAAATAGGTCATGTGCACAGAATCAATACAGGACAGCCACAGCCACAGCCTTAAAGGCAACAGAAGGTGCACAGTGCAGTCACCAAGCGGTTAATGACACTGCTAATCTACCTATCACAACAAATTTTCTTTCTTCCTTTTTCTTTCTTAAAGGGTGGGGGCCACAGGTCCACAAGAGACAACAAACACACATTCATCATAATAAACTTTCTGATCCAATGAATACTTTCAAAGAGAGGCTTTTCATGTGATAGGAACACAGTGGGGCTGAATAAATACTTGATGACAATATAAATGCCCACAATCCTACAAGCAACAAGATGATATATGCCTGATCATATATCTATGCCTGACTGATAGTTATACATTAGCTCAGGTGAGATGATGATGGATGCTCTTGGTGATTTGGTCCTCAATGAGAGATGCAGTGACCCAGATATGTTTTCTGTTGGAATCTAGGGGTTTCTCATGGTGTAAAATGAGCTTCCATGCTTGGTCAATACTACTTTGGGCAGTGTGAAAATATTTAACCTCTAATCCAAGGATCAGTTGGGTGTTTTCTTTCCTCTTCCAATAGATGTACTTATAAGAGGGAAGAGAAGAAGGGCTGGATAGAGGTTAGAGGAGTGGGGGAGGGAAACATCAGCTGCCCTGGGAAAGTTTCTGCACTAGTATTTACTTAAATAGGAACTGTGAAAAATAATAGGACCAATGACACAAAACAGACTCCAAATGAACTCATTAAGCCAAAGGTGACAACCCAACACACTTGGTGCTAATTATCTGGCAGCTTGACAGGAACAAATGAACTAAACCACAGTGAGGATGGCAAAGGGCTGCAGGAATGTCATGTCCTTAATTACTTGTGGTGGCAGTCCCATTGCCAGCCACTGCTCTCAGGTAAGACTTAGCAGTGCATGATTTCAAAAGGGAGAAACCTTATCTCCAAGAGGGGGCAAAACTTAAAACAGAAACACTTGCTAATGATGCAGATCCATGACACAGACCAGAACAGCAAGGAGAGACCATTGTCGTTGGGAGTGTGTGCAAAAGCAAATTACATTTGTCCAAGCACATCCACACCACAGGGAAGAGCATGGGATATGTCGCCAGGCTTACCTTTCCACAGAGCTGCTTAGGTACTGTGCAAGATTAAAAGAAGAAAATAAATAGGAAGCTGAGAGAAATTAATTTCAAAACTGTTACAGCCTCCAGAAGGGTCCAACTGAATATGATACTTCAGAGAATTCTAGAAAGACTGTAAAAATAGATAGTCTAATGTTAAGGGGTAAGGCCTGTTGATAATCTCTGGGTAAGTGCTCTAAATGGGTCACCTTTATCCAGGTTTAACCACGGGGAAGACACTGAGGTGTCTTTAAATTTGAGTCTGAATTTTTGGGTTGTCAAACAGTTCCACTCCATTCCCCTCTGCAAATTAAGCAGAGTTACAGACCTACCCTCTCCCCCCTTTTGTGCAATGCACAAACTGCTCTTGAATCAAATACAGAGTCATTCATTCCTTCATGATATGCTCCATATAGAAAGAGTATGGCCCAAGGCACTTTTCAATACAACCAGATAGGAAAACTTCAAGGCCACTTGATGACAACTGAAAAAATCAATTTCAATAGCTCACACATACTGTGTTTCTTTCAAACACCTCTTAGTATCTGGCTCAACACACATATAAAAACTTCCTTTTATGTTCTAACCTATTTGAACAAGAATACAGTAGGTGAAGGTAGCACTGACACGAGTAGACCCCATCCATTCTGGAAGCCTGATGCTTCAGAAGTATTTTACAGGGGTGAGTCTTCTAAAATTACTTTTGTGGATTCATGCTCATAATCTTCTATGGCAGTAATCTTTGAAGTTTTTGATAATACATGCCCATTATCAAAAAAGTTTGTATACCCCAATATGTATATATGTACATGGGTACTCATTTGTAAATTGTGCTATTATGTAATGCACATTATTAAACTTCCACAAAGATAGATATTAAAAATAATGAAGTAAAGATTAAAAAAAATTAATCCTAAAATCAACTGGGCACTATGTTTTAAGAAAACCACTTTGACAGTACTGTGTAGGACTGGTTAGGAGAAGGCAGAGCCTTGAGACTATGGGAAAAGGGTGGTACCTGTCTGAGAGAGAGAGAATGTGAAAGACGTTGAGGATTGAGAAATGACAAGATTTGGCAACTGATTAGGTGTAGGGGGACAGAGTGAGGAAGCAAAGATGAGCCCATGGTGCAAAACCAAGTGACTGGAAGGATGCTGGTACCCTAAAAAGAAATAGGGAAATGCAGAATGTTTTTGGGGAAAGGTAATGTTGTAAGATCTGAGATGCAGGTCACCATTTATCCATGCCTGTTTATTCTGTGTGACTCACTCTACCCTCTCCAAAATGAACTGGTGAGAGAACTCTTTCTTGAGCCCACTTGCCACAGCCACCAAGTGATTCTGGTGCACAGGGTGGGTATGCTGGGAGAGTATATGTAGGGGGATTTTCCCCAGTGATACTTATGGCTGCTGCCAGTGCCCTGATAACAGTTAGGTTAAAACTGCCCAGAAGGCCAATACTAAACTTAGAAAGCGATTATGTTGGGAACAGAGTGGAGAGGAGAGGTTCTGGTGATATGGATTGGTGTGGTGTGTTGGAGGCCCAATGAGTAACTATGGGGGACAGAGAGGATGGGCCTTATTTTGGGGACCACTGCTTTAAGAAGTCTGATCATTCTCAGAAGGCAAATTTGGAAACGAGCGATGAATATATCAATTGTGTGGGTTTAGAGCTCACAACCCAACTGCCAGGTCCACAAAGTGGTTGAGTAGATGACCTGGGGACATTGTCAATGCAGAGGTCCCAAGGTGGTGGTTTAGATTTCTGTAGAAAAGTGTGTGTACAGTGTCATTTTAAATCATCTTTTCCCACCACAATAAGCAGAAAGATTTGAAACAACTTCTAACCATGTTCACTCTTTTAAGCATTGTCAGCAGTGAAACGGACTGTCCCATGAGGGATTCCTATCCTCACTCTATTTGGAAAACCAAAGGTTTACTAAAAAATCCAAGGAGTGCTCATAGTCACAACTGTGGTTGGAAGACTGTCCTTAATGGCCCTGGTAGATATCCCAACTCTCTCCCTACATTCCTCTTTCTCTGCCTCTGAATACACCAAACAGCTAGACCTGAGCTCAAGAGTGTGGCTGGCACAAATTCTCTCAAAGGCCTGGCACTGAAGCAGACTTCCTTCAGCCCTTGGCACTTTGCAGTCACTAAAACAAAAAGGACAAAACTCCCCATAGAGTCACATGTTTCTAAACTAGTTAAAGAACCTTTCAAATAGTCTGAAACTGGGGGGGAGGGGCTAGACAACCTCAGACATATCCTTCCCTGTGAGATCAAAGCCCTTAGCAATGGCCTTAGAGTAAGTAAAAGGAAAGGAAAAACTTACACTGCTCTCATCCATTTTCTCGCGCCTTTTAGATTTGTGTGTTTCGTAATCTTCCATGAGGGTCTGCATCAGATTCTTGGGCCGCTGGTATCCGGCAGCCTCTTCAGGGAGTAAATCAGACTGCGAGCTGGGGCCTTCTGTTGTGGGGGATGGAGGAGGTTTGACTTTCTCTATTTTCCCTGCAACAACAGGAAGAGAAGACCCTTTCTAAGCTGGTCAGCTCATGATAGCTGTCAGAATGAGGAGAAACAATTGGCAAAAGAAAACCCTGGCATAAAGAATGGCAACCCAAAAGCCTCGATACAGAAAGGTATGCATAAGCAACTAATTCTAGTAGAGGCCAAAGAGCACCTTGGAGGTTGGACTGCTAACCTGGCTGCTGAAAACTTCAAGTCAGCTGGTTTTAAATGATAAGATGAGTAGGTCTGGCAAATATTTTACACATCTACACAAAGATGCACAGAGATGCACAGAGATACAGGTCTCTGTGATATCCACAAGGTGGTATCTCTTCACCTGGTATACAAGCCAACACAGATCTCCTTATGGCATGGATATCTAGACAGAGTGTGGATTCAATGTTGTAGAAATGAAGGTTTTTCAGCTTGATTATTAAAATGCTTCCTGAAGAAATTCTAGGGAAGGAGGATGGCGAGTGACAGTGACAGTGGTTTGTGGAAGGGGGCCTCAGAGACGCTGGAAATTCTTCCCTGCCAATCTATGCTGTAACGGAACATTTGCTGGCCAGCAGCTCGAACTCCAGGTCTGGCTTCCTTATGGCCAGAAATATTTTGCTGCTTTCCTTAAAAGCAACCCCCACCCCCCAGCCCCATCCTTGCTAGGCAGCTTATGAATGGCTGCTGCCCCAACACAGCAGAACAGTGGTAGAAGATTGCTTCCCAGGGAGGGCAGCTAGGTGGTACAGTGGATAAAGCAATGGGCCTGGGGTCAGAAGACCTGAGTTCAAATCCAGCCTCAGGCACTTACCAGATGTGTGACCCTGGGCAAATCACTTAATTAACCCTGTTTGCTTCAGTTTCCTCATCTGTAAAATGAGCTGGAGAAGGAAACTGCAAATCACTCCAGTATCTTTGCCAACAAAAACAACAAACCTACCAAAACCAAATGGGGTCATGAAGAGTCTGAAACTACTGAACAATTTAGAGACAGCATGACTGGAGAAGACTGTAAAAAAAAAAAAAATGGGGGGGAGAGGGGATTTTCATGCAAAAAAGACTGGGAAGCATTGGGATGAAGGGCTGTTAGAGACACATGCTTCCAGTTGCTCTACATGTAAATCTGGGCAGAGAACAAGGTTTGATGGAAACAATCCCCTGCCCCCAGATGATTTTTTTTTCATTAAAAGTTGCTTTACCTCTCTTTGCCTTTGATCACACCCAACTTATAAATATCTTATCTGCCTGGTTTCTTAATCAGTCTCTCAGCTCAGTGTTGACAACAATCCATGAGTCACACGTCAAGGTTGGAAGGTCAAAACATCCCGATGTTTTACGTGGCCAGCCCAGACTGTTGGTCTAGTAAAATCGACACATCATAAGTAGAACATGTGTGGCTTTGATTTAGGAAAGCAGGACGCCTGAGAAAAAGGACTATTATCAATTATCTGACAGATCTGGGCTGTGTAGTTCAGGGGTTATCAAACATATCAAGGCAATACTTCCTACTGTCACTGGAAGCAGATAAAATATAAGTGGGAAATATTTAACAAAATAAAGAAAAACACATCATAAATACTATTAACATGTGTTTTTTTTAATTCATATATGACAGGCAGAGGTCCCTGTGTGTGTTTTAGTGGCCCTGTTTCTATTTGAGTTTGATACCATTCGTGTAGAATACTGGCTTTGTAACTTAGATCATTAATAGTCCTGCACTGAACACAGAAAAGGGCAAGTACAAGCTCTGAATACTTCTCTGGGAGGCAGAAAGGTTGAAAACAACAAAATATACATGGGAAATAGCATTGAAAACCTGGAAAAGTAATTTTTTTTTAATCCCTAGGCCTTAGATTTTTCATCCGTGAAATGGGGACATGCACCACATCAGAAGTTCTTCACATTTTTTTGTGTCACAGACCCCTTCCCAGAATGATTTTTAAATGAATAAAGTACAGAGGATCACAAAGGAAAGAAATTATACAGAAATACAGTTATCGAAATATAAAAAGAACTATTTCACAGACCCTAGGGTAAGAACCTCTGGAAGAGGGATCTCTTCAAGGCTTCAGTCTATAATCCTATGTACACTGGACAGTAAGGACGCCTGGGTTTAAGTCTCAGCTTTGCCACTGATTATATGTTACACAAATCATTTAGCGCCTCTGAGCCTCAGTTTCCTAACAGACAAAATGAAGTCACTGAACTGAAATTTCTCTAAGGTACCTATTTCCAATAACTGAAGCATTCTATGACTAGAAGATATAAAAGTAAGGGTAATTTTTAACTCTGAAATTCTACAATTCCTCAAACTGGACTCATCTTCTTCCTAAATCCCAGCTTCCTAGTTTCGGAGGATGGTGCCATCACCCTTGATGAAAGCCTTTGTCATCTTTGACTCTTCCTCTCCCTTACCTCCACATCCAATTTCTCCACTGATAAATTCAGCCAATGCAAACCTTCATATCTTTCATATCTGTAATCTGTCTCATCCTCCCCACTCACACTGTACTGCTCCAGTTCAGACCCTTACTGTGTGTCTCCCCTGGTCTATTATAATACTCTCCTGTCTTTCTCCTCTCTTATCTGTCCTTGACACAACTGCCAATATAATCTTCCTATGGCACAGATCTGACATTCCTTTTTTCAAAAACTTATAGTGGCTTTCTATTGTGTAAAGGATAAAATAGAGGCTACTACAATCCAGTTCCAACCTACCTATCCAGATTGATTTCACACTACTACCTTCCAAACTCTTATGGAATCTTCCATTTAACCTGATTACCTCATCCATAATACAGTGTTATTTTTCACTCTCCCACCACCATGTACTCATATAAGCTATCTTGCCCCCCAACATCTGGGTATTCTTCTCTTGTCAGTCTGTTAAAAGCCTTTTCTTAAAACCCTGCTCAGATGGCAACTTTCTCCATGAAAATCTTCTTTGATTTTCTCAGCTAAAGTGATTTCCTCCTTCTCAAGTTGTTAAGTGCACTTTGCCTAGATCTTATCCAATTAGACTGTAAACTCCTTGAGGGTGGTAGGGACAGTGTCATTTTTCATCTCTATATCTTTGGTGAAAAATTGCTGATGTGAACTGAAAAGAAATTCAGAAAACAAGGGTAATGCCTTCACCAAAGGACAGACTATTGAGTCTGAAGATCAGGTGGAATGTATAAAGCACTGAGGAAAATGTCCTAAGCAGACTACACAGTGATCAGTACTTAGATACTTTAGTAAAACTTAGTGCTTTGGCCTGAATCATTCTAATAATTGGCAAGGCAGTTAGAGTTAGGAAGGCCCAGCTTCAAATCCCATCTTGGATATTTATTGGCTTATGTGACCCTCACAAGTTATGTAACCTCTCTGGGCCTCAGTTTCCTTATCTGTAAAAAGACAGTGTTGGGCCCAATGGTCCCTTCCAGCTCTAAATCTATGATTTTATAGTCTTATGAAAAGTAGTTGAATTATCCTTAATACTTAGCTAACTCTATGGATTCACTGCATAGTACCTGTGATTTTCTATTTCTTTTATATACATGGCTTCACTATTTAAATGCAAATGACCAGTAAGGATTGTCCTCATTTTTTTAATTGAAAAAAGCAAGGCACAAAGAGTTCCAGTAATCTTCCAACAGTCACCCAAACCCAAATTTCCTGAGATCCGGCCAAAAGCACCATCCAAAATAACTGTGATAGAGGCTAAAACACAAATTTTTAAGGAAAATTAATAAATTAGGAAAATACACACCATAGGACCTTCAACAGCAATTTTCATTTGTCTGCTGAGGCTCAAGGAAGTATTAGATTCCTTCTCTTTCAAATCCAGGGTTCTTTACATTACAATAACAAAAGGTGAAGAACCGGAAGACCCTGGATTCCAGTCTTGACTCTGTGGTTTTATTTTCCTGCCTATGCAACTTGAAGCAAATCACTTTACTTTGCAGCAGTTTCCACATATGTAAAATTAGGAGGTTGGACTAGATAATTCCTAACCTATATCCAAATCCTATGAGTCTAAGATTCCTATCATTCTGTTGCAACACAGGGAAATAAAAATTTAGCCCATCCATTAAACCAGTTGTATGAGTTTTGTCCACTAGAGGTCACACAAACCACAGGTAAAGAAAAACTAAAAAGCTTGAGAGGCAGATGATTTAAAAGTGAGAGGAAAACATTGAGAAAACAGATCAGAAGGCCAGAGTATTAGCAAGGCCAAGAAATCTCCAGAAAAGGAGCCTGCAGTGTAAATTATTAGCACACTGGAGGGCTTCATAAAGGCTTATTAAAAGTTTTAGCAGGAGGTGCTTTCCTTCTGCACTACTGTGAAAATAAACTCATTACAACTCAAAGTAGTGTCTTAAAGACTCAAGTTGCCAATTAATCTTCAAACTCTCCCATAGCAGAGGAAAAGCAGAAAAATTACCCACCTCAAACCAAAAACATCCTTTTACTGAAGTTACACTGGATTTTAGAAATCTTGACACTCCTTAATATTTTCTCTGTGGCCAATCAATCCCTCATTGTACATTCTGCCACCCCAATGGTTTGTCCTTGTTCGTTCGT